AACCTCAGTCGTGCAGCCGGCCGATAATGCAGGGATTGCACTGTATCCATTGGTCACACTGACTCAATGGGCACAGTGCTTCTCTATATTCGTGCCTAGCGACTGTAGTCCCATGATAGAGATACTGATAGAGAGAAATTGTATTTGGCTCCACTAAAATTTAAGAGTAACGCCAGAATATGGTGGAATACGACCTCCCTCTCTGGTAATAAAATATTAAGTTGGGAGGCATTTGAAATAGCAGTAGCTAGACGATTCCCTCGTAAACAAAGTTTCGGTAAATTACTAGAGGACGCGTGCAATTAAAAGAGTAAGTCGGGTCAGAGCCTAGAAACTTAGAGTTTTGAGAAAATCGCGAAGTTCCAGAAGCTCACTTGGGACATGCCCGAAGAGTTAATTGTCGACTGCATAATATGCGGAACTACCGATGATACGTGGTAATGTAATTTCATCTAAATGCACCACTTTCGCCGATTTGACTATATGTTTGAGTCGTCTTGATTTAAACCAAACGAAGCAAAATAAGGACCCAAAGCGTGGAGGAATGAAATTTTAACGAGGGAAAACCCGGCATGTGTTTTCAATGTGGAAAGCCCGGTCATAAACAGCTTAACTGTCCAGAGAGTGCGGGGACTGGGAACTCAAGAGTGAGCGGGAGCCGTCATCAAAGTGACCGTTGGGGTGGAAATAGAAAAAAATGGGGGTATTGTGGACTCGCGAATCATCTCGAGACAGAATGTTTCAAAAAGAAAAGAGACGCTCAAAAAGGGGAAGGGAAGGCATGACTAACCGTTGGTGCCGAACCCTTGGAGATCTTGAAAGTAGAAACACGTGACACAAACAAACCCCTCAAGCAATGTTTCATCAACAACGAGATGAAAGAATGCATGATTGACTTAGGAAGTGACTGTTCCATTATGAGAGAAAGTGTCCCCAGAGCACTGAATTTAATATTTAAAGAAGCAAAACCGACGGTAGTGGCCGTGCGGTTAGAGTGCTAGACTCGTATGCCAATGATCCGGGTTCGGTTCCCGGCACCGGCGGTCAAAATTTATAGCGCTCTAATCTCACAGTTTCACTAGCGAGCGGTAGTCCCGTCAAAAGGACGACTGTACCAGGGCAGGTTTTTCCCTCGAATGAGGTTTTCCCTCCCTTCGGCGAATGCGGTACAGGGGGTTGAGGGGGGTGGGAAGGGAACAAATCGTAAAGACCCGAAAGGGTATACGAGAAGAAAAAAAAAAAAAAAAGAAGCAAATCAATCACTCATGGGATTCAATCATGCAATCGTCACTCCCGTAACTCGAGCAAAAATCAAAATTTCGATAGATAATATTAAATGGAAACTTAAATACGTTAAGCGGGTTGGGTCGAAATCAGGTACGTTTGTATCGTACCTGATTTCGACCTAACCCGCGAAATCAATATAGGTAGGAATATTTTGGATCAACCAGGGGTCCGTGCGACCTCCGACATTAATGGCGCGCAGTTTAGCCGAGACACTCGTGGATCAGGTAGAAACAGAAAGGGCCGAGACAGTTAAAACCTATTGAAGAGACTGAGGTAAATTGCCAAGGTCTAGAGCCAGCGGTTAAGTGTAGGCTTTTGGGTTTATTGAATCGATACAGGAAGAATGTATCAATAAACCTCGAGGAGTTGGGCAGGACGACCGCCGGGGAAATGGTCATTGAGTTGACAAGCAATCAACCGGTTTACAGCAGACCTCGGCGTTTACCGAGACCCAACCAGGCATTAGTTAGGAAAATGGTAGCGGACTTGGAAAGGAGCAGTATTATTCGATAGAGTCGTTCACTCTATGCGAGCCCTATTGTATTAGTCAATAACGGAGAGAGAGACCGTCGGTTACGCGTCGATTATAGGGATTTAAATAAAATTACTAAGAAAATAAAGTATCCTTTACCAATCATTGAGGATAAAATCGACCAACTGGGGGGAAAGAAATATTATATATCGCTTGATTTGAAGTCAGGGTTTCACTAGATTCCCATGTATCCAGACTCCATAGAAAATACTGCTTTTGTGACCCCCGATGGTTAGTACAAGTACTTACGGATGCCATTTGGCTTAACAAATGCACCGGCAGTTTTTCAAAGCATCATGAACAAAGTTCTGAAGGATTGTGCATTAATATTCATTGATGATGTCCTACTCGCGAGTTCAGACTATGAAGACGGGTTTTCCCAGCTAGAAACAGTATTGGAGAGATTCGCTCATTAGAATTTCACTTTGAACTTGAACAAATGTAAGTTTTTCCAAAGGAAAATAGAGTATCTGGGCAGGGAAATTTCGGCTGAAGGAGTCAGACCTGGATTTCGCAAAATAGAGGCAGTGATGGAAGCTAAGGAACCTGACAACGTGAAACAAGTACGTCAGTTCCTGGGTCTTACGGGATATTTCCGACGTTTCGTGGAAAAATACGCGAGTAGAGTACGCCATTAACAAATTTGTTGAAAAATAACGTACCGTGGAGGTGGGGTATCGAAGAGTCCCAGGTAGTCAGAACAATGAAAGAGATTTTGTCCTCCCGACCCATCCTAGCGGTTTATAACTCCGAACTCAAAACAGAGGTGCACACCGATGCTAGTGCCATCGGTTTAGGGTCAATACTCATTCAGAAACATGAAACGGTCAAACGCGTCGTGGCCTATTACAGTCGTAAAACAACCCCAATCGAGCAGAGGTACCACTCATACGATTTGGAAACTTTGGTCGTGGTAACAGCACTTAAGGCTTTTCGTGTATACCTGCTTGGGATCAAGTTTCCAATTGTCACGGATTGTAGCGCTATCCGTGCCACAGCAAATAAGAAAAACATACAGCCACGTGTTGCACGTTGGTGAGTTTACTTGCAGGATTATGATTTTGAGATCGTTTACCGACCGGGAGCACAAGTCGCTCACGTGGATTATTTAAGCCGAAATCCCGTTGAATGTTTATCGATAGATATTACCGAAGCGGAATGGATAAATGTAGTACAATCGCAAGACCCCGACATTGAGATCATTAGGAAAGTATTGCAATCCGGTCACGTGCAACTGGAAACTAAACATTATTTCGACAATTACACTCTGAAGGGAGGCGTAATTTTTAGAAAAACAGATGATGGGAACAAATGGGTAGTACCGAGAAACTCTAGATTTTACATAGTAAGATTGTGTCACGACGACCAAGGTCATTTTGCGTTTGAAAGAACTTTGCAGAAAATTAAAGAGAACTACTGGGTCAAGGGGATGCGTAGGTTTGTTTCGAAGTACGTGAAGTCATGTTTAAACTGTCTGAATTACAAATCGAATGCCAGGAAGAAACCCGGGGAGTTGCATCCGATAGAAAAAGTAGCCATTCCATTTCACACATTGCACGTTGATCATGTTAGACAATTTATTGGCAGCAAACGTAAGAATACGCAAATATTATCCATAAGCGATGGATTTACCAAATTCTGTGTACTGGAGCCTGTAAAAGACACAAAGACGAAGCACGTTATCAAAGGCCTCGAACAATTGTTTTCAATATTCGGAGTGCCCACTCGTATCATGAGTGACAGGGGAAGTGCGTTCACTTCCCACATGTTCCGAGTATTCTGCAGGGAATATGGTATCGAGCATATTCTCAATGCGGTTGCCACACCAAGGGCCAATGGACAGTGTAAACGTTTGAATAGAACGTTGCTGCATTCATTGGTGACGACCAGTGCAGGTCAAGATGAGGATATGTGGGATACAAATCTCAAGAAAGTTCAGAGCGCAATCAATTGCGCAGTGAATCGAACGACGAAAAGGACGCCGGCTCAACTACTGTTGGATTACCAACCGCGCAGTGCAGCTGACGCGCATCTTCAAGCAGGAATCCAGGAGAAACTGGACCAAGTAGACTTGAGAGAAATGAGCAGAGAGGCTAATGCCTCGACGGATGCAGAGAGGGCTGTTCAGAAAAGGAGATTCGACGCTCGGAGATTCAAGCCTAAAAGCTCACTGCCAAGGCTAAAGGGCCTTTCAAGATGACCGCAGTTCTCCCAAACGATAGGTATGAGGTCCAGGGCGGTCCTAGGGCGGTCTTAATACCGTTACGTCCGATTGACTTTTTCGGTCTGGCTTACAGAGGATCCACTTCCGAGAATAGTGGGATATTGGGAAGATTTTGAACTATCAAAACACTATGGGTACAACACTATGGGTCTAATGGATTTATATATATATAGATCCATTAGACCCATAGTGTTGTACCCATAGTGTTTTGATAGTTCAAAATCTTCCCAATATCCCACTATTCTCGGAAGTGGATCCTCTGTAAGCGAGACCGAAAAAGTTAATCGGACGTAACGGTATTAAGACCGCCCTAGGACGCTCAGGAATATCCAGAAATAGCATCAGAAGCTATTTCATCAAAGTACATAATTAAAAAGATTAATGCAGAATACGATCTAACTCAAAACGCTTACAAAAATTTCAAATGAAAAACTGAATAATGCAAAGGACATCCCGGTGAATATTTCGGAAAGAAAAAATTATTAATATTGGTTAGAAAATTTCAGAGATATTTATGAAATTTGCCATTTATTTGTAAAACGATTTAGAAATAAATGGCAAATTCTCAAAAACTGCTGCGTCGATCAAACTGAAATTAAGCATAGAGCTCAATTTTAGTCCTCAGGAATACCTAAAATTTGCCCGAATTTCAGATTTTTTAAAATTCTTCTAGCAGTTCAATTACTCTATGTTCTACAAATTGACCACCGAGAAGGAGACGGTGGATACCCGCACATACAGTCATACAGACATGCTCACCAAATTTTGTATGTTTCTATTTTAGACAATTCTAAATCATTTCCAAGCAAAATTAAAAAATGAGAAAATAAAACGATAATAATGCTTGTATTCGGAAGCAACAGAAAACTCCTCACAAACAAATAAGGTAAAAGATCAGTGCGCGCAAGAGCACACGCGCCCTGTCTTGTTTCAATAAAAGGAACAGAGAATGATTACCTTGCTTGGGACGATTGTTGTCTGCACCAAATTTCTGAATCTTCCAACTGAAGGATCAACATCTTCTGGGTTAATGACCTCTTCATCCTCATTGAAAGTTATTCCCTTTTTCTTTCGCTTTCGATTCGATTTATGCGGATCATCGTCAGTTATTCCCAACATGGATATACGACGATTGTGAGCTGTATTGAACTCAGTTAAATTCTGAAAGATGATCAAGAAAAATCATTGCCAATTTCTAACTTAGTATTGATGATTCGTACATTCAGTTAAATAAGTTCTGTCCCACCTGAAGGTGATTCCACTATATAAGTCCATTGGTGGAATTTATCTGCATAAATCGATAGGTTTTGACGCTGAATAAACAAAAAAATTGGTGGAACCAACTTCAAGTGGGACAGAACTTATTTGGCCGCACTGTATGTATTATTTCTATCACACTGTCAGTGAAATGACATTTTCCGAACACGTAGCCTGAGTCAAACGCCGTTTTCAGACATTATGATAAAATAATATTTGTGTCATTCCTTCTGTCAGGCAGGGGTTTAAGGAGATTTTCTTTTTTTTTCTCTTTTAGTGAATGCAATTCTCTGGACTTCGTAGCCGTAGCTGAACAGACCTAGCCTATGGACATCAGATAAAAGATGAGGCTTGTCTTCAAGAGTGATAAACCGCGAATTCTAACCTCACTTAATTCGGTCAGAATGAGGTTTTTGGTCTTTGAAACATAACATATTGAATATCACACGGCTATAAAAGTGTTCTGAAGACTCATGTGATTATACCTCTCGCCTTCGGCTGGAAATGATAAAATTCCATTTGTCAGAAACTACTTGTATTGCCTTGCAACATAATGTACTACTTCGTCAACTGGCGAAGAAAAACTCTTCTAGTTTATGCCGGGTATCACAAAACTCACAGGTAATCTCTCGAGGGATGAAAAAGGACCGAATTTTGAATGAAAAGTTCCTCGTTCACTTTTGGCTCCAGGACTTGACGAGTTATTAATAGATGCAGTTAAAAAATGACGACGGAGGTGGTCAGATTCACATTGACGTAAAAACTGGAGCACAGGTGCGGATGAGGACGACGAAGGGGGGGGGGGATTCCTATGATATGGATATCAGACCCCTTTGAGTACATCTGGTGCCCCTAGGTTGGTCAGAACCAATCACTTCTTTCCCTCTCTCCACGGCCTCACTTCTTCAACGTCATTGAATTTTGATGGTCATGAAAATAATATTGATTATAACATTACATTCAACTGAAACTTTAATGAAGTTCTTAGAAAGGTAGTCTCCCAATGGCTACGCAATAATCAGGCCAGTTCGGCATCACTGCCATTGGTCAGTTTCATTAATTGCCAACTCGATAACTAAGCCCCGGAGCCAAAAGTCGAAAAGGAATTTTCGACTCAGAATTTCACCCTTTTTCAACCCTCGACTGATTGCCTGACAGTTTTGAGATACCCTCTATGATGCCGTCCTGCACAGCAATATTCACCAGAATAGTTTGTATCCGATTAGTGACAAAAAATACTATTTTAAAATCGATGCGTTCCCATATAACTTAATTTTAATTGAATAGTGAACAAAATCGTCCCAACACTTATGCAATTATTTGAATAAAACTTTCACAATTTGCGCAACGGGCATTGACCCGTAACCTATGCAACAGAGATGGGAGTAGCAAACGCAGCGAGCGACCGACAATGAATCTTATTTTTTATGCAAGAATTTAAGAAATGAATAATTTAAGAGCAAAGTGTCTAGATTAAGCGCTGAGCATCATACCCCTTCTGTAACAGAGCAGAAACTTTTTTGTTACAAAGAAAGGCAGCAATTCGTCTAAAAAATAATCATTCTTGACAAAAATTGGTAATTAGCAGAATTCATTTCTACGATCACTAAAGAAGTGTTGCAGTGATTATGTTGATTCTATAGTTTCATTTTCGTCCTTCTTTTCCGACTTACGTCAAGTTCTGTTTCCGTTTCTGGTAATCCCAGGAGACCACCGGCCTCATTATCTTCGGAAGATTTCTCTAGTTCCTCCATAATTCCTCTGGTACCTGTTTGAGGTCTTTCACGAATAATATAGTACCTCGTCGATGCTCCAAAATGAAATGCACTGTCAATAGGTAATTGAGTGGGTTTTTGCCCCTCGAGTCTCATGTTGCCAATGTATGTCCCGTGGGCTGATGAAAGATTGAGTTGTTTATCAATTGTCGTAAAACATTTGAAATTTTTTAAGTAAATTCGCACTTACTGCTGGCTAAATCAACGAGAAATGCTCGATTCAGATGTTTATGATATACCAAAGCAGCGTGAACTCGAGAACATGATGCATGGTCGATGCAGAAGTCATTCAGCTGTTGATTGCGACCGAAGAGGTAACATTTCTTCTCATCAACCATCAATTTCTAAAAGTAAGATTAAGATTTCTATAGAATAAAACTGGAGAAATTATAGTATACTACCATTGCTATACGGGGGACTTGAAACTAGAATCTCCTCAATATGCCTGTAGCGTGCCTAAAACCGATAGTAGTTAATCTACAAAATCGTCGAGGCGAACGATGGAATCTTAACGAATTCATCTCATTTTGTGTCACAGGAAAGATATTTCAAAATTGTGCGGGAGCACATTGTCAATTTGTTGCTAGATCGTCTCGGCATCTTTAGATTGCTCACTTTGCATAATCATTTGTTTAAACATAAGTTGCTCAAGACAACCATGGTGGATCAAACCGAGAGTGAGCCCAGAGTCAACTTTGGGTTTATCAAAAAAATAGAAAAGGTAGAGGAATTTTGAGAAACTCCCATAAACCCAGAGTTAGATCTCTACACATCGAGTTCGATCTGGGTGGATTCTCTTTAATTCATCAGGGTAGTCTTCTGAAATTTTTCCAATTTTTCATGAAGCTTTTATATGTATGTATTTTTTATGCAGCATCAGCATACGGGAAATTATAAAATAATTCTTCGATTATTTTAAAACAAAGTCATCCAAATTCAGTAAAAAAAGAGCGCTTTATTTATTTCTATATTCAATGTGAATTACGAAATAAGGTGAGGCAATCTGAAGCATCACTGCGAATATAGAGGATTGAGCCTCATGGCTTTATCCTTATATAAAAAAAGCATGCATTGGAAACTGTCATGCCGGAGAGCATGTAAAAAGTGTCATAGCGGCGCATGAAGGATGCATTCTCATCATGAGAATGAGCAATGCGGCCGCGACGGCACTGTTCAGGGAAGCGCGCGTAAATTACAAATCGGATTCTCTATGTGAAATGAAAAATTGTTCGAATGATGATTGATAATTGGATAACTTGAAAGCCAAGAATGGAATGAAACAAGTGAGAAATTACGTTTATCGTCAGATAGTATATGGGGTATTCTATGTGAACTCACCCAGGTCAAAACGTGGTTGTATATGGAAAAATATGACGTCTCAAATTTTTTCAGATTTTTTGAGGCATCCTGTGGACAGCCATGTTTTTTGGCAAGTTTTATCTTCAAATGCCTGTAACTTCCGTAAAAATCAACCGATTTGAGTTTTTTTTTACAAAATGTGCGTCTTCGAACACACTTTCCATATAAAAATATGCCAATTTTTTTCAATTCGTTCTTCCATCGATTTCCTCAGAAATAACTCAAAAAACTTCAAAAAACGAGTCGTTTCCAAAGTTGGACCCTTTTTATATTTTTCAAAAAATTTCAGTGAATATATTGGACCAAAACAAAATTTTTCACCGCGATGGTGAGGGTTTTGACCTGGGTGAGTTCACATGGAATACCCCATATGCATATTTTCTACACATGGATTTGTCTATAATGAGTGCAATGGGAAATTATTTTTGGTGATGGATGTTAAAAATTGAAAGGTAGTTGAAATGATTGATAATTAGATGAACTTGAATGTCAAGAGTGGAATAAAATAGAAGTGATTAATTGCTTTCGTCACAATATAGTCAATATATTTTTGCTCCTAAATTAACAATTCGCTTCCGCATGGAATTTCTATAATGGTGGATTTTCCAATTGAATTCAATGATTTATTGTATTCAATTTATTGACATCGCCCCAATGTTGGCAGCCAGCATTGCCTCAAAAATATTGGTTTCAAAATAATTTTTTTCAACAACAGATGATGCAATCAATCTCATGATCGAACTTGGTCAAAGTGGCATTGGGAAGAATATTTTAAATCATAGTTAGATTCATTTAAACATTTATTTTTTTAGTTATCGTCGAAAAACGATCGGTCACACACAAACATACATACATACGGAGATGGTCTAAAAATTGCATATTCGCACTTCTGAGGCCAAAAGTAGTTATCCTGATGCAAAAATTGGCATTTTCGGATTCGATAAATGGTCCCATTCGGAAGCAACAATTATGAAATGTAAAAATGGAATGATTTTATTGCTTTCATTCGGAAGTAAAATAAATCTCATGTTTTTCTAAATGATTCAAACCAAATTCGAGACTTATGTAAATAATTTGATTCCAATTTTTTTATTAAATTTTCTTTTAGAAGCTTTGTGTAATGAAATCAATACTTAAACCACAAAATCAAAGAATATTGAATATTCTCCATGGAATAAAAAAGTTGGAATACTTTTTATTCAAAGATTTTAAATCATCTAATTTATCAATTAAATTGGCTAGGAAAAGCTCGAAAATAAAGAATGGCGTAATGGAATAAATAATTAGCGGAGTTCGAACAAAATTCCATAAATACTTGCTTTTACCAACATTCTCTTCTTAGGAATTAATAATAGAATGTCTCAAATTTCCGAAAAATATAATTTTTTCACATAAAATTGATTTTTGGTGTGATTTTTGGAGCAGAAAAATTCGTTACAATTCAGGAAAAATTATTCTTTGAATGAAAAATTGATTATGATGGAATCATTTATAAAAACACAGTCATGGTCTCCAAAAATCGCAATTTTTTCAATCATTCCTTTAGTCTACTTCGAAAAGTCGACTTTCAATTTTTTTAAATATATTTTTTAAATATTCGCTCATAATTATGAGTACATAGCAGTTATACTGTTGAAAAAAAAGATTAAAATTTTAAGGACAGTTTAATAGTAAATTTTAAGAGTTAGAGAGGTACAAGTCTTGAAATGTAAAAGTTCACTGGAAATTAACTGCGATTCAACATTTTTTAACAGCATGGAGATAAAAACTCTCAAGTTCCTTAAATTCTCATTCAATATATGAATATTCTGTACCTAAAATTACTGGATAGTTTCGGATGCTAAAGCAATTATAATTGTCCAAATCGAAAATAGAATTATTCAACTTTACTAATGTTGCGTTTAGTAAGGTTTTCTCCAAAATTGATTAGGATCAGTAGCTAGAATTATGAGATTATAGAATTTGAAGGCGACACAATGAAAACCATGATCAATTTTTTCGCTTCAAAAAATGATAATAATCATATCCAAATTAAAAAATTGCAGAGAACAAGAATGATGATATTTGTGTCATATCCTCTGAATCATTAACATGAATGTCAGATTCACGAAAAAGGTTGGAGCAGAAGTCACACGGTCATTTCAAGTTTTTATTTTCAATTTGGCGCTGGAAACATGAAATGACGATATTCAGAGGGAGCCAGTTTTTTCCGGATGTAAGATGATTCGGCAGTTTTCCGGAGAATTTAAAACAATTATGAGGTTTTCTGAAAAAATTCGAGAAAACTGAATTCTTCGAAAATTGGAGGAAATTTTGGGTCTGTTTATCTCTCAAATATTAAAGAATTTTTGAATAAACAATGAGAGAACAAATGGTAGGAAAAGGTGGAATTTTCCAAATAAAACTGATGTGAAGGAGTCCCGAGCTTCGAACAACTGCACTCTGATTGATGGAAATAAGAAGGAACATAATTTTTAAAAATTCTAAAATTTCCTCGGATTTTCTCAACAATTTCACAAACTTTATTTGTTAATTCACAAGAATTTCGGAATTTTATGGAGAATTTGAAAAAATTTCAGATGATTAATGATTTAAGTTTCAAGTAATATAGCACCTAATAAAATTGTGACAAAGATCATGAATGAGAAGATACTTCGAATTAGCCAAAGAGTATCAGAATCAGTCTTATGATTTTTGCTAGAAAAATAATTAAATGCTATTGTCAAGTTGTGAAAGGGAATAAAGGGGGCGGCGAAAATTAAAAAATTCTGAGTTGAGAGAAATTTACTAATTATTGTTTTGTACTCTGAATGGAATTTTGATTATAATTATAGTTCGAACGTCATTCATAGAGCACAGAAATTCAAAATTAGTGAATCACTTATTGAAATATTGACATTAAACAGGCAATCAAACGACAAACATTATTTTCATTAACCTTAACACTCAGTATAATAAGACGATAATGAATCATTAATTGTTGAAAGAGACACAAGGAAAAATAAAAAAAGACATAATGAAAGGGCTTCGGCGCTAGCGAATATGAATAAGGAGCCTTTCAGCCTGACTGAAATAATAATGCAAAGCCGAAACTGTTAAGACCGATAGGAATATAAAAATTTTAGCGTGGATCCTATTTCTAAGGCGTGCTTATTAAGAGAAGATTTTTAGAAATAAAAGAGGATGTGTTTCAAATTCTTTCTAAAATCCACCTTTAATAGGATGAATAGGGGATGAATTATAAGAACTTTAAGGAAGTTTACAGGTTCCCTAAAAAATCAGAGAATTGTCGGTTTTTTCTGAATGTAAAATGATTCGGAAGTTTTCCAGAGAATTTACAACAATTATGAGATTTTCTGAAAAAACCCGAAAAAATCCACGAGTCGTTCAAAAATTAGAGAAAATTTTCGGTATCTCTCAAATATTAGAGAATTTTTGAATAAACCATGGGAGAACAATTGATAGGAAAAGGTGGAATTTTCCAAATGAAATTGATGTGAAGGAGTCACGTGACACCAACTACTGCACTCTGATTGATTCAAATGGGAAAGAAAAACATAATTTGAGAAATCGGAGAATATAATTTCACAAAAATTTTCAAGTTTTTCAAGCAAAATTCGCAAGAATTTCGGGACTTCATGGAGGATTTGACAAAAATTCAGATGATCCATCAAAGTTTCAAGTTCATGGCATCATCGAAGAAAATTGTGAANAAAAATTTTAGCGTGGATCCTATTTCTAAGGCGTGCTTATTAAGAGAAGATTTTTAGAAATAAAAGAGGATGTGTTTCAAATTCTTTCTAAAATCCACCTTTAATAGGATGAATAGGGATGAATTATAAGAACTTTAAGGAAGTTTACNAGAGAAGATTTTTAGAAATAAAAGAGGATGTGTTTCAAATTCTTTCTAAAATCCACCTTTAATAGGATGAATAGGGGATGAATTATAAGAACTTTAAGGAAGTTTACAGGTTCCCTAAAAAAA